ATAAAAGTTGATTAATTTATTAGAGTTTGCTAATGTGGTGTTAACATCTGTTAATCATAAAGCAAAACTGTTAAAGAAAAATCATAAGCTTCTTAAATATTTTAAAACTTGGTACAACTTGTTAAATTTGAAACACGAATAATGCAAAAACTTGTCTACTTTGGAAAATTATTATTTTTAGCAAAAATAAACATTTTCTTATATTTTATTTTGTATAAAGACAAAAACAAAATTATTAATAATTTAATACCACAAAATATTAATCTTAAAGATGCATTTTTAGTTTAGTAACATGTTTTAGGAAATATTTTTTTTTTTTAGTTTGATTCAAATTTGTAATTTAAATGCAACAGGGTAAAATTAATGAATTCAAGATAATAAAAATCTTTAAAACATATTATATTAATTTAAGTGTTTTACAGTTCATACAAATGACTATTCATAAATCTTTAAGCATTAGCAAGTGGAGAAAATATATTAATTTTTTATTTTCTTATCTTGTGTTTTCTGTTCATATATTCTGTGATATCCATATAGGATTTGTTATGATGGAGTTTGACATCTCAAATGGATTTTTGGTTGTTTTGTTATCACTATTGTTACTAAAAAAACAATTATTATTATTTAACAGGATATAAAATGCATGAAGTACAAATAAGTTAGGAAAAAATGAGAGAATAAATGAGGTTACCCTCTGAGCAACTTTCAAAATACATTTGTTAGTACATAAATTTTTGTTGCCTGGGACAGCTGCTAATTTTGAACCCTGTATTATTCTTAAAATTTTTAAAGAGTGTTTTCTATCTTATTGCCATCCTACATAATTTATTCTCAAGCTATCTATTCTTCAGAAGCAACATTTTTGAGTTTTGTTACTTTTTTCAGATTTATAAAAATCAATTTTATTTACAATGAAAATATTTAAATTTATTCAATTTACAATGAGAATATGTTAATTTTGAAGCACCCTTGCATCCTAACATTATAAACATTAAATTATGGAATATTAGTATTCTGAGAAAAAATCAAATTTAATAATATGTTTCTGAAAAAATTATGTAGAAAGCATTGAAACTGCTGAAATATTAATTCTAAAAGTAAAATATTTTGGAAAACTTAGTAATAAAATTTGAATTTAACTTCTAACAAAAAAAAAAAAAACTGTAAANACTTTATTTAAAATCCTATAGATGTGATGAAGAGGCTGTTGCTAAAGCACAAGCACAAAAAACACTTCGTGAAATTGAAAGCCAATTGTCTGAAGTTCAAGAGGATTTAGAAGCTGAAAGATTAGCTCGTGCCAAAGCAGAAAAACAAAAGAGAGATTTACATGAGGTATTAATATTACTGATGATAAAAATTAAACTTTGTATTTAATACTTAAGATAATTTAAATACATGTGTTTTTAAAAACATATTTTCAAATAGATTTAATTTATTATAAAAAATGATGATAAAACTCAAAATTAATAATTTTTTCCAAATTTACGGATGGGCTAAAAACGACTTATATATTTTAATGTTGTAATTATAATATTTAAATGTAGAATTAATGTTTCAGATGAATTTTATAATGAACAAAAATATTTTAAATAGGAATTAGAAGCCTTGAAGACTGAATTATTAGATTCTCTTGATTCAACAGCAGCCCAACAAGAATTAAGATCCAAAAGAGAAAAAGAAATAGCGTTATTAAAGAAGTCGTTGGAAGATGAAGCAGCTCTTCATGAAGCACAAATTGTTGATTATCGTCAAAAACACAATCAAGCTATTGAACAGTTGAATGAACAATTAGATTCTGTTAAAAAGGTTTGTAAAACATAAAAACTGATTTTATAATTAAAAATTTGATTATTTTTCACAATGAAGTATAATGTAAATGGCACAAGACTTTCTTTACATCTGTTTAATTCTTTTTTTTTTATTTGTTAATATTTTATCATTATTATTATTTTTATTATTATTATATTTGAAATTAAACTATGAATTTAATGTTTTAGGCAAGAGCTGCACTTGAAAAAGCTAAAAGCAATCTTGAGACAGAAAATTTTGAAATGGCAAATGAAATAAATACACTTACAGCATCCAGGCAAGATTCTGAACGCAAAAGAAAACAACTTGAATCTCAAGTCCAGGAATTAAGTATTAAATTAGCAGATGCAGAACGTAATAAATCTGAATCTGCTGAAAGAATTCAGAAATTACAGGTAAGATATTAATGTTTGTAATTAAATTTATTGTTACATAAGATTTCATTTAATATTATAAAACTAATTTTTTATAGGCTGAATTAGAAGCTGTAAGTGCACAACTTGAAATGCTGGACACAAAAGCAACTCAAGCAGCCAAAAGCACAAGTGCCTTGGAATCTCAACTAGCAGAAACTCAAGTAAGGAAATTTTTTTAATATAAATTATTTTAATATTTACACACTAATTTTGTAGCTCCTTATTTAATGTGTATATAATTTATCACAGTAGCCCCTTATTTGACAGACAGAAATTTTTTTTTAAACTGCTTAAGGTCATTTTTACCTTCAAGTGATAGTTACTAGAAAGAATGGTTTGGGTTAAAGCAGGTTTTTGAGCACTATGCATTTATAGTGTTGTTGTATGGACACTCTGCAATAGTTTTGATATATCACTTAATTTTGAATAGTGTTAGTAAGATTTGTCATGTAATTGGTTTATTCTTATTTCCAGAACTGTAAAGGTAAAAAGTTTAGTGAATCTATCACTAGAAATTCCTGACATATTATGGAATGTAGTTCATCTTCTAAGAAGCATTGAAATGTTTTGAGTAATTTAAAGAGAATTCTGTTTCCTAGAATCAGTTTTTCATATCCCATTCAATTAATAAGAATTTCAGTTAACATGTGACACTACAACTAGTTGTGTTCTTCAAACATGAGATTATTGTATATATAAAATGCCAAAAATTCATATAAATATTACTTATGTAAAACAAAATGATGAGAAAATTAGTTTTAGGAAATATTTTTTTTTTTTAGTTTGATTCAAATTTGTAATTTAAATGCAACAGGGTAAAATTAATGAATTCAAGATAATAAAAATCTTTAAAACATATTATATTAATTTAAGTGTTTTACAGTTCATACAAATGACTATTCATAAATCTTTAAGCATTAGCAAGTGGAGAAAATATATTAATTTTTTATTTTCTTATCTTGTGTTTTCTGTTCATATATTCTGTGATATCCATATAGGATTTGTTATGATGGAGTTTGA